CCCGGGGGGGGGGGGGGGGGTCGAACCCACAACCTTTCAGTTTCTAGATATATAACTGCGCTACGGAGAACTCAGGTACTCGGCTTCGTACTTGAAGCTTGTCTGAAATTTATTGTAGTGTAAATACTAGACGTGATGTTAATGTAATTGTTTAGTTATATAATAGTCTAGTAGGTTTGTAAGCTTGGTATATCGTGAGTAAAAGTTGTTCTTTATTACTCAGAAAAAAGCTTGAGAACAACTTTTACTCGTTATATACCAAGCTTACAAACCTATACTAAACTAGCTATATATTAACTGAACGTTTACATTGACATCACGTCTAGTATTACACAACAATAAATTCAGACAAGCTTCAAGGTCAAACCTCTCGCCGAGTACCCGAGTTCTCAATGGCGCCAGTTGCATGGTTAGCGCGCTTATCAACAAAGAGGTCGCGGGTTCTATCCCCGCACGGGGACTCAGAAGTATTTTCCGAGTAATAAAGCTTGAGAACAACTTTTACTCATTATGTATACTAAACCTAAGTATATTAATTAAGTATATTTGCTGAATATTTATAACAATTATTCGCCGAAGGCTCGGTGATTATCGGGGAATATTCGCCGAGACGAAGTCGAGGTGAATATTCCCCGATAATCACCGAGCCTGAGGCGAATAATTGTTTTAGTGTTTTTGCACAAGTTTTTTTGTGTTTTTTTTTTCCTGGTCTGAATTCATTTTAATTTCGCTTATTTCTTTATCACTAACTTCAACAAAACGGCTAGCAGCAATTTTGAAAATTTCGATTTTGTTATATCCACCTGTAGGTGAATATAACAGATTAATACGTTAAATTTGACCAATCACCTTGTAGGTTTTGTTATGTTCACTTGTGCAAAAATACTAAACTCCAATGTATACTCACGATACATTTTAAGTATCATTAAAATACTGATTAATAATTCATGAAGAAAATTCAAAAGAAATGAATGTTTAATCCATATTTGTAAATCGGATAAAGATTTGTCCTGATTTACATAAACTTTAACTTTGATTTTCTCGACTTACACAACGTATTTTTTGAAAATCACTTCGCCAGTGGACTTACTAGATCGATCGTTTTTGAAGCAATTTAAAACATTCGCAGTGCGTGTTTTATCAGACCTAAAGATACTCGGCTTCGCCTCGTATCTTTATATCTGATAAAACACTTGTCTGCTGCTCATGTTTTAAATAGTACTTCAAAAACGAACGATCTGGGAAGTTCATTGGCGAAGTAATTTTCAAAAAATATGTTGTGCATGCAAGTCGAGAAAATCAAAGTTAAAGTTTATGTAAATCAAAGGAAATCTCTATCACATATAAGGATACGACACGCTTATGATTTTTCTTTGTGTTTTCCTCATGAATTATTAATGAGCTTTTGAAATAATACATAATATTCGGGTTTTGTTTTTATACATATACATATACATGTACATGTACATGCACATGTACATATACATATACATATACATATATAACAATGTATATTTATATGTATGATGTTGTGATATATTGTTCACTCGGTAAACATGATAAGAGGAACTATTCTCGAGTGAATGCGTCCAAACCGCACAAGTAGAAAATTCTGCCTGTCGCGGCTGGGTTTCGAACCCGCGACCTTATAAATGCCAGCTCAACGCTCTACCAACCGCTATACACGTTCAGGCCCCATTGAGGACTGTAAATTATCTAGTTTGATACTGAATTGATATAAACGACTATGTTTATGATATTCAGTATATAAATCATTTTCAGTCCTCAATCGGACCTGACCGTGTATAGCTCAGTTGGTAGAGCGTCGAGCTAGCCTTTCAAAGGTCGTTCGAAACCCAGCCGCAGATAGAATTTTCTGCTTGCGCGGTTTGGAATCATTCACTCGAGAATAGTTCATCTTACCATGTTTACAGAGTGAACAATATCACAACATCATATATATATATATTAAGTTTGTGTGTCTTTCTTCTCCCTCTCTATATATACAGTATATATAATATACATACATGCAGATTTTGATCCCCAAAAAGTT